AAAGCCTTCCTGTTCTGTTTTACGTTGGACTAATCACATCTGCCTTGATACAAAACAGTCGCTCTCATCTCTATGAAGCATTGCTGAAATTTATATCCTATACTAGTGTTAATTGTATTAGCCGACACAATTATATATAGCCGAATTTGTTCATTCTTACACTGAAAAGTTGGACATGTTTTTAAACGGTTTTTTAGCTTGAACTGTTTGGATCAAAATAATTGAAATGCCTTCCTTTTTGAATTCCTGTAGTTGGATTGATCTGAAATTTGGTACGCACTTTTAGTTCTGATGACAATATAATTTAATACCTTTGTAAATCCAAGATGGCCGATTTAATTTGTCTGGTCAATTCCTTAGATTTTTGAGTACAATGGTTTACAAATTTAAACTTGAACGGATATTAACGTAAATTAAACGTTTACAGTGCTCATAGCTATCATTTGCTTGAATTTCGAATGGATAGGAATTCAAGTTCGGATCAAGACGGATGGTGACTTTCACCAGTTTAATACTCGAAACAGAACTAATTTGCGTGTACGACCAACTAGGCTCCAAAAGATAAACCACTCCTTATATGGAAATTGTATTCGTTTTTATAACAAACTCCCATGTGAAATTAGAGAATTATCACTAAATAAATTCAAAGCCCTCGTTAAACGAAAATTAATCAATAAAGCTTCTTATAATACTTGGCGATTAAAAAGAGTGGCGGAAAGTTTCTTGCCAGTTCTTCTTACCCGCTCTACGCTCTTGACTTGCGAACTGGTAGTAATTATAAAATTTACAATTAATTAAACTTCTTTCTGACAATTCATAAGTGTACTTGTTCACCTACATGAATAAGGATATTTTGAGTTTGAGTTTATACTAATAATAATGTTTAAAAACGCTTCTAAAACGGCAAGTTATACTTGATAACCTTAAGTGTTAAAGGTAAAAAGATATTTGCTCTTTCTTGTCCCTGAGTGACCCTTAAAATTAAGGTGCTCTTAGTACAAGGGCCCTTGCGCTTCAACAAACACGAGACAGGCCCTCGAAGCCCTCGATGGCTTAACGAGGCACACGTTAGCCTTACAAATAATTGGCACTTACCGAAGGTTTTTGTCGATTTGGGGAAAATTTCTTTCTCAATAACGTTGTATGAACCTTCATTTAACGCTGCCGGCATTTCCTCGCTGTATTGCGATACATATTCGTTGAGCGAGGAAAGCACCAGCTCGGGTGTCACCAGTACTATCTACCAGTAGCGATTATTGTGTATATTATATTTATTTTTTGTTTCAACATTATCTTATTGGTTTAGTACTGTAAGGATAGTGTGTGTATTTTTTGTGAATACATAAATACAATTTGAACTATTAAATAAATAATTGGTAGCGAAATGTGGAAAAGGTGTATTTTTTAAAACAAATCGTCAGCTTCACGTAAAACTCTTTGGAAAACTCCAAGCTGCACGTGTTCGAATCATAGCCATCGCCAAAACTTTAATTCTGTGTCGTTTTACATTCTTACCTGGTCTTCAGTATGACCATTAGCGTAGTAATTGACCCGAAGGAGCTGCCATCAGCAGATGTTCCAGGAAGTCCACACGGAATAAAAATACACACAGTATAGGAAAAACAACAAAGTAATACTGGAGTGTCACCATGCACTGGTGGCAACAACCTGAAAAATAGGGTTACCCTATAGTGGATAAAAGGACACAGTGGATCTCTCGGCAATGATGGCGCTGATGAGCTTGCAAAGAGAAGATCCGATATGATGCAGACTGGCCCGTGCCCGCTATTTCCTTTGTCCTTCTCGCAAATGCACACTTGGATTCGCCAAAGATCCACAGAACTCCAAAATAACCGTTGGTCGCAAAACGTAGACTGCATATAGTCCAAAATGGCACTGCCAGCAGTAAATCCTCTAGTGTCAAAGCGACTGCTACGTCTCAACAGAACTAATCTCAAATCAATAATAGCGACAACTACGGGCCACTGTCTCCTTAGTAAACATCTTTTTGTCTTTGATGCGACAGACAGTCTCTTGTGCAGAGGCTGTTTCAGCGCAGAGGAATCAGTTACCCACGTAGTCCTGGACTGCATGGTGGCTTTCCAACGATCAAAAAACCTCAGAGCAGTGAGGTCACTCCGTAAAGCCTGCGAACTGCCCAGGACTTAACTCACAACGGACCAAATGGGCGTAATGCGGAAACTGATTTCACAGTTCACACTACAAAACTGAAAACTGTATAGACAAAATGTATAAAAACAAAACTGTTTATAATATTTATTTACGCGAGAAGATAACGGCAATGGCATTCGAATACTTAAATAAAATTATGTTGAACAAAAACCTATCACGGAATAACACAAGTCACAACACAATTCACTTACTATTTATTATTAAAAGAGAGGGACACTTGACTTGTACGGGTACAACTTCATTAAATTAATAAACCTTAAAATATGCTATGTAATTCTCAGATGTCGTTATGCCATCGCGTTTTTTCACACGCCTAACGCCATCTATTGTTCAAACAAAAAAATAAAGTTATGATATTAGACAATAGATAAATGAATTATAAAAAAAAACAGTGATGCTACGTCCTATTAGGTCTGGGCCTTTGATTTCTGATTCGTGACCACTTGTTATCTATAGGCAAGGCTTTATGCCTGACACATTCGTCTTTTTTGAATTTAAGATTTATACCGGTTTCCTCATGATATTTTCCTTGAGCGAGTGAGCGGTAAATGCTTACATAAACTTCTGTCTACACCATTCAAGTAGAAGCTCTGGGTTCGAACCTACGATCTCAGGGATGAGAGTCGCACGCTGAAGCTAGACTAATTATCCTGCTGCTGAATGATAACTGTCTTTAAAATCAAATAAATAAATAAAATAAATCAGTGGCACTACAACCTCTTTAGGTCTGGGCCTCAGATTTCTGAATCTGTTTCATGATCATTTTAATAGGCAAGTAGGTGATCAGTCTCCAGTGCCTGACATGCCGTCGACTTTTTGTGTCTAAGACATGTCGTTTTCCTCACGATGTTTTCCTTCACCGTTCGAGCGAATGTTAAATGCGCCAAAAGAAAGTCCATTGATGCACAGCCGGGGATCGAACCTACGACCTCAGGGATGAGAGTCGCACGCTGAAGCTACTAGGCCAACACTGCTCTACTTTTACTTTAAAATCGAATATAAATATTATTTCTAAGTAAAATATTATTCCGCTCATTTTTCAGTTTATATCTCATTTCACACTTCGACAGTTCAGCGTGTTCCGATGCATTCGGAAAACCAATTCCCAGTTGAAGCGATCATGCGCCAATAAGGCGATTTTATTTTCGGCTTTCCTTCTTGCTTCCGAGGGGATTAAATTGTTCAATTTGAGTTTTCAAACCTTATTCAGCGTGTCCCAAGTTTCAATGCATATAGAAAACCGGGCGCTACAGCCTTTAATGTAGATCTCAGATTTCTGTATCTATTTCGTGAACATATGTTTTACTAATAGGCAAGTAGGGAATCTGCTTTTTTTATGAGACATGGGCATAGGCATGAGGCTCATCTAATGTTAAGTGGCCGATGGACACTCTCAATGCCAGAGGGCTTGCGAGTGCATTGCCGGTCTTTAGAAGTGGAACGCCCTTTTCTTAAAGCTCCCTAAGTCGAATTGGTAAGGCAATACTCCAGTGGGTAGCTGGTATCACACAGTGGTGGTGCGCGCAAAATCTGCGTTATATAACGTTCAGTTGTAGAACGACGGATGAGGTGAATTACTGACTGAAATTCAGTAATACGTACAACTCCGCTGAATACTCTCCACGGTAAATGCTGTAGAAGATGTAGAGAGCTACTCGTACGATAGAGTGATTATGTGGCAGAAATAAAAGATATTAAACATTGACATAAAAAATATTTCTTTAAATATTAAGTTGCTTTAGTCAGTCGCAGCTAAAATCAGATAATTATTGTCACTACGCTCTGCCATTGTTCTTGTTGTTTTTCATCAAAATTTGGAAAACACCGTCAAAATTGTGGTTTGCCGAACAAAATTTAAATTAACAGTCAACAGGCTAGGCAAGTAATGAAACGTCATCGATCCAAGTCATTTGCCTAGCTGTTTGATCAACTGGCTGAACATCTTTCAGGCCGCTAGTTAAACGGCGCTGTTTAGTTATGAGGCTAGGCTGTTGATTGGTTGCAGCTCCTTACAAACATTGTGTAACCCAAAAAACTAACGATTAAAACGAGTGGCGGAGAGTTTATTGCCAGTTCTTCTCTTTCGTTCTACGCCCTTGATCTGAGAACTGGCAGTAAACGTTTAATTAGAAACATTTAATATATAAGCTTTTTTGACAATCATAAGTGTACATTGTGTTACCTATATGAATAAATGATTATAATTGATTGATTGAATGGCTAATTAAGCTAGTTGGCTGCGACATACATCCATCTTAAATATATGAAGCACAAGCACAATCCAGATTGACCAAACAATATTTTGCAATTTTTGGGTGTTATTTTGACATAAGAGGGTAAACAATTAACAAAGCGCGGAACAATATACGGTTGTCCATTCCACATATACAATATTTGCTCTTACTGTCCAAAGTTTGAGAGCAGTGTGGCTTCAGCGTGCGACTTAGTAGGTTAGATCCCCGGCTGTGCACCAATGGACTTTCTGAAGGAAAACATCGTAAGGAAACCGTCTTGCCTTAGACCCAAAAAAGTTGACAACGTGTCAGGCTCAGGAGGCTGATCACCTACTTGCCTATTAGATTGACAAATGATCATGAAACAGATACAGAAATCTGGGGCCCAGACCTAAAAAGGTTGTAGCGCCACTGCATTGTTTTTTGTCCAAGTTTTTGGTGGTTATACCCTTGTATGCATTAACTGCTCCTCGCGGTAGTGTTGAAAAAGTTTTAATTGAGAAGCATCTATGTAAAAAAGTACCTTATTAACTATTATATAGATGTAACAGTATATGTGATTTATTTATACAGCCATTACAGATTAAAATTGCTGGGCGCAAGCGGCGAAGCCCCACTTTTGGGGGGATGGCGAAGCACCCCACATACGCCGCGGGCGCCCGCTACCCCAGCGCAGCATCAGTCGCACAATCATCTCGCTTCGAATTGCAACGGCACAGACAGGTAAGCATATTTTTGAACTATATTTATAGTAAAAAAATCAGATTTGTTTGTGAGCCTCTAAAAAATAAATACAGTAGCAGCAAGTGGGAATTAAATTAATTGAATAACAGTACATTTTCTTAGGTTTAGGCGTGTACTACATCCCAACTAACAAAATGATCGTTTAAATAGTCAGTATACAACGAAAGAGTGGTGCAGAGTTTATTGCCAGCCTTGCGATTCTGTAACTCACTTTTCGAACTCACACAGCGGTTTTCACAGCGGCGGTGCGCTCAAATCAGTCGTAAAGCAGTCATTTTACGATTTGGCATTCTGATAAGGAGGGAGCTTGTAGTTTATTGTTTAGTAAAAGTGAGTTACAGAATCGCAAGGCAGTTCTTCTTGCCCACTCGGCGCTCTGGTCTTGCGAACTGGTAGTAAATGTAAAATTAGAAGCATTTATTTATGTTCATTGACGTTTATAAGTGTACATTGGTCATTGTTATTCATTAAAGTTAAAGTTCCATCAAAAGCTTTGTACTTATGATATATCAACATATTAAACTTTATACATATTACGTTATATGTCGGAGAGATATCGTCACTCCATCGAAATGGATATCGTCATTAGCGTGCTTAGTGGGCGTCATGTTGGTAAAGTGCCAGCACAAAAGACACGAATGATTATCGTACTTAATTAAGATTGATTCCTTTTAACAACAAATATCACTCTAAGCTTAAATTATAACGAGCAGCGGGTTCAAGGCACTGATCTCACTTTTAATCACAATTTACTCAACCACAAATCACATAGACCCAAATCCAACGTCTCATCATCAAAGTGCTTCACTGAATACTCAATCAGAACTTCCTTGCGTTCTCTGAAAAACATGAACACGATGGTCGCAACAAAATATATACTATTGTCTTTGATTTACATAACCTTTACACATTTAAAGAAAAAACTGTTTGACCGGATTGAAGTTATGTATTATTATAAATTTACAACTATTTAACATAATTTTAAATTTATCCGACGTTTCGCGTGCTTTACAGCGTGCGTGGTCACGGTGACCACGCACGCTGTACGCTGTACGGTGGTTTATAATAATACATAACTTCAATCCGGTCAAACAGTTTTTTCTTTAAAAATATATACTTTTAATCGTTAAGTAATGATTATAAATTATAAAACAATTAAATAATAAAATTATGATTCTTAAAAGTAATAGAAGGAATCTCAATTATTAAATTAACAATAATAATCAACGGTCAATTGACTCGATCAGAACCTTTTGCTGATAGGTAATCCGAGAATTCCCCGACATACAAATTTAATGTAACTAAAAAATATTATAAAAAAACCCTGGTGTCTTTATTAGATATAATTAATTGTTTTGTTATTCCTTTATTATATTAATTTATTATAATGATAATGGCATCTTATAATTTATTATATTTTTTGTATAAGTAGGTAATAATATTGTCAACTGTGTTTTATGTTTGAATGTGTATTCCGTTTTCGGCTTCTGTGTATAACGTAATTATTCAGATATTATATAATAAGTAGCTGTAGGAATACTGATAAGCAAATAAATAAATAGTACGGTACACATATGCTTTGAATACAAAATATCATCCGTACGACCTCGGCGTCCGTCTTCCACAACTGAGCGTTTCTTAAGGCAGTTTTTGCCGCGCACCACCATTATGTGGAACCAGCTGCCCACTGAAGTATTTCCGAACAAATTCGAGCGAGCCTACTCGCAATGTGAGTGTCCATGCGCAGCGGTATATCTTGACATCAGGTGAGCCTCCTGCCCGTTTGCCTCCTGTTACATAAAAAAATGCTTGTTGCTAAACGTCACTGAAGTATACTTCAACTTAGGGAACAATCAAATCGGTTTTGTATTTGATATATCCACGTATTTATGGAGATTAAACTCATGTATTCTATTAGTACTAAGTTAAGTACATTACTGTTGATAGGTTTTTAAAGACTTTCACTTTTATTCCAAAAACTTTCTATCACTTACAAGATATAGATAGTACCTATGCAAGATTAATTGCAATTTCCTTGCGGCTACCTATATGTATGTTTGATACGTTATGTGAGACGGCTATCACGAATCTAATTCGGTAATTGCAGCATTAACATGGCCTATTATCATCCATCCATACCAGTGTCAGCTATGGTTAAGCGTGGAGATAAATCTTATTGCAGTAAGGGAAAGATGGACTTTAATCTGTGATATAAAAAAGGCCTTTAAACCTCTTGGCCTCAGATTTCCGTGCCATTGATATTTTAAATAGTTTAGCAATGCATAATCAGGTTCAGATTGAATGAAATAAAATCATTCAAGGGGAAGGTGATTAGGTTTTTAAATTTATTAGCGTGAGCGAGTAATTAGACCATAAGTTTAACAATTATAAATGACCTTACTTCTTATTATGACATTATGTTAATGTTCTTATTATATGACATAGCAAAAAATTTATATGACACTAGCAGACCAGCCAAGCGTTGCTGTGGCTAAGGTTTTTGTTATATTACAAAGTAGCAAACTATTTAAGGGAAACGGTGGGAGAACACCAGTCATGGGGACCACCATGCTTTTTTGGTGGTGATGCCATTAAATTGGTACTTCCAAAACAGCGCCATCTGTTAGAATTGTATCAAATAATAAACAAATATTTGCATTAAAATAATATTGCGGGTATTCATTGAGATGTAAGCTATCCTATCTTTTAAGTTGGATCAAACTACAACACGGTGTGCAAATTTGATTATATCAATCAAATCGGTTTGGTAGTTTAGGAGTCCATCGAGGACAAACAACGTGACACGTAATTTATATATATTAAGATTTGCATGCCTATTTATATATGGCTGATTGTGCGGATTTTTCTTGTTTTAATTGTACCACTATCTTGGCAAATAAACGAATTATTATTATTATTCATAATTGTTATACGTTAATATTTAAAATTGGAAGATCGTAAAATTTTCTACCAGTTACCAAATTAAGGGCGTAGAGCGGGCCAGAAGAACTGGCAAGAAACTTTCCGCCTCTCTTTTTAACTGCCAAGTTTTGGTGTTTCATAACAGTAACAAAACCTGAGCATCAGCGGGCAAAATACTTACATCAATGTAAGAAGAAAACACGTAGTCTATAAAACTTAAAACATGTAAAGGATTTAATTATAAATAACCATATACACGAATTCAAGCACGACCAGTCACCACAAGTAGAACCCGTTCGCGAGCACAACGCATGGCTTTTGCTTGCCATCACCATCCTATGGCCTAGCTTATACTAAGTATATGTGAACGGAAGTATTTTGTGTTGAGTAGTCGAGCTTGTACGCGTATGCGTATTATACATTTTTGTGTTTTTCTCACTATACTGTAGGTGTGTGCTAATTGAGTATTAGGTAATGGTTGAAGCATCTTTTAAAACAAATCTTTATTCTTGTCTGCAGTAGCAGTAGAAATCTCAGACGGCGTTCAACATACACAAGCGGAAGATTCGGATTCGGACTATCATTTTCATTTGTATTCGACCCGGCCGGTCGCCTATGCTACTACTGGTCCATGGTGGTCTCCCTCGCCTTCCTCTACAATCTATGGGTCATCGTATATAGATTCGCATTTCAAGAAATTAATGGTAAGTTTTATAATAACTAAATAACTAAAGACGTATATTTCAATGTATCTTCATGACAATCCCCACGCTTTTCGGTAATGGGTACTTTTAACTTGTCCCGTCTTTAGTAATTCCTGGTGTACGTGTATAGTGTCTATATATCAACAATTAATAAGTAAGTAATGTCACCTTTGTGTTTATAGGAAGAAGTTTGTAAAGTATTAAACTGGATACTTATTTGAACACAAATACTTGACTAATAGAGTATGCTTTGTTGGTGGATAAAAATAATAATTGTAATCGTACGAGCCAAGGCTGTACAGTTTGCTCACTCAGGCTTTCTTAGTTTTATAAGAGCGGCGATTTCCTAAATGGTCGGAGTTACGCCCCGAGAGATAAGCCAGGCACTCTCTTCGACTGATACATTGCATTTATTCGTTAGCGATTAACGTTTCATTGTTTCGCTTATATTCGAATCGCTGTTGTACGCGAGTGGTTAATATAGAGTAAAAATAAAATCCTCTATTATTTAAAGGACGGAAGATTATTTAAAGTTAATTGATTTTTTTAACAAATTTATTTTTAATATATTAGTTTAAATTTGATATAAGTTCTCGTTACACGTGAGCCTAACTTCCTTCAGTACCATTAATCGGAACGCCTACACAGGCTGTGTAGGCCATTCGTTCTTCTATCCACCGTTGCGGCGCCCACTTCTTCTCCTCGGTCCATATAGTTGTCCTTAGTCAATCTTGCCTTGGTTTAGAAAAGAAGTCAAAAAGTACTAATAAAAAAACATGTGTTAGAAGTTATTCTTCTTTGGCGTAACAAGATAAAAATCTTTTCAAAAATGTTATTCTCATTTGTAGAAAAACGACACTTACAATAGAAACAAGGTATTTCTATTCTGACGCATTATCTTGTTAAAAAAAGTTTACTTGAATATCACAAATTTATTTTTAAATATTGACTATGCTAACTTCAGGGTGTCGGTTTTTTATGGCGGAGTGCGCGGCGCGCGCGCATCGTAATAATTTTCTCTAACGCGCCAAAAGAAGTATAACTACAAAAAGAGGTTTAAAAGTAAAATAAATTGTTATTACCTGCTTTAAATACAACAGATGTTAATGACATACGCTACACAACTATGACCATTCACGTGTTAGTATTGTCAATTGTCAAAGAAGTGAACACTAATAATAACTTGGAATAAAGAACCGATTGTCAATAAGTATTATCCTTTAAACGATGCCACTTCTTCAATAAGTTTCTTAACTCATGGAGGGTCAGAACCACCCACGAAACCCAGTCTCTGGTGATTCAATGGAATTTCCGAAGTATTGACCAAATTTTTTAATTGAATAATTTCAAACCACTTGCAGTCTTCAAGAGACTTAGCTTCGTTCCGAATTAAATTTTAGAATCCCAGGACATACCTGTCTTCCACTTTTATTTCCTCGCTCTTGTACAAATTACTTTTCCTACTTCAATTTCTGTCCTTTTATGTACTATAAATATGTATATAGAATTTTAGCCAGTTTCATTTTTCAAGAAAATATAAAGTTATAACCATTTATGTATGTACTTATATACCTACTAAATTTTAAATAAATATTTATATATTATTATACTAAATTGACCTGATCCTTTTCTAAATTCCTTTCCAATTTCCAAGAAATAGAAAAAAATATATTTTCTGCGTTAAACTGAAGTTTCCTTTTCAATTCGAATCAATTCAGCGTTCTGATTTCGGCTGGATTCTTTGAATATTTTCATCGACGGAAAAGAACTAAAGCGATGAAAAATTCAATTTCGATTCGCGTCTTTAGAATCAAATTTATAAGGTTCGGTCACTTGGAATAGGATTTGCTTGAAGTCGCATAACGGGTTGCTGTCGCTTAACTGAAGATCAAAATTGTTGAAAGAATTACTCGAAAGAATTATTCTAGTTATTGGTGAAAAACGCAATTAAGTCCGTGCAGTAGTTTTTGAGTTTATCGCGAACATAGACGCAGCGGAGAACTTGTTTTTATGTAATACAAAACCCAGATATTTGCTGACTTTTTTGTATCAAGTTTTACAACTTTTCTCTCGTTGGCAGCGTTCGTAAGAAACGTTTTTGTTCGACAATAATTATCCTCCCGACTTTGCAAATCCGACTGCCACGATAAAGAGTTTTATAATAATAATAATAATAATTTTATTAATCAGACAAATATATATTTATGGTTTTCGCATTAATACAACTTAACACAAATAACTTGGCTTTATATTGGTACAAGAATTATCACAATTGGTTGAGTAAATCCAAAGGTTACCTCCTACAATCTCAAAATATTTATAATATAAGTGATATATATGTAATATGTATATGTATTAACACATATATGTATTAGAAGAGAATTCTTTACAAATCCACAAATAAAATATATAATGATTGAAGTTATACTTCTTTTGGCGCGTTAGGAAAAATAATGAGAGTAAATTTTTACGATGCGCGCGCGCACCAGCACAAAAAACCGACACCCGCACACCGTCACGAAAAACCGACACTCTGAAGTTAGCATAGTCAACATTTTAAAATAAAAAATGTTAATTTCTTTAATTATCTAGAAATATTTTTTTGTGATATTTAAATAAACTTTAACTAGATAATGCGTTATAATAAAACGTTTAACGTTATAAAAAAAAAAATCATGACAATTAAATTCATTAAATTCCTAACATACCTTGCTTTTTCCATCCCTCTAAGTCTCGGAAATCTAAAGTTTTAGATTTGTATAAATATGAACAAGAGTTTAAAATTAGTTTGTCAAAGAAGTTTCACTTCCGACATGTGTATGGTGTACTTTGTATGCACGCACTTTTTTTAATATAACCTTCTCTTTGTTCCAGGTGAAACGTTAATAGTGTGGTTTTGCTTGGACTACTTCTCGGACTTTTTATATATAGTGGACATAGTGTTTCATTTTCGGACTGGTTATCTAGAAGACGGTGTGTTACAGACAGAACCGGCAAAAATGCGGCAACATTATATGAACTCAACAACGTTCTACATAGATTGTCTATGTTTATTACCGCTTGATTTCCTCTATTTGTCTATTGGTTTTAATTCAATACTACGCTCATTTCGACTCGTGAAAATCTATCGTTTCTGGGCGTTCATGGACAGAACGGAGAGACACACAAATTATCCAAATCTGTTTAGATCAACAAGTTTAATTCATTATTTATTAGTGATATTCCATTGGAATGGGTGCTTGTATCATATTATATATAAGAATAATGGTTTCGGTAGTAAAAACTGGGTGTACCACGACACGGAGACGGCGGATGTTGTCAAGCAATACCTGCAGAGTTATTATTGGTGCACGCTGGCTTTGACAACGATAGGTGAGTACACAAATTACATAAACATTATTTATAAGTATCAATAGCTTAAACATACATATAAACAAATAGGTAACATAGGCAAAAAATGCCCTTATCGCTAAGAAGCGATTTCTTCCAGGCTACCTTAGTATGGAAAAAAAGAAACTCCAAAAGTTATCAGTTGAAGTAATTCTTTATGGAAATAGTCAAACAAACAAATAAATAAAAATAATAACATTAAATTACACAGTTTTCTAGAAAAACCACATGCTTCTATCAAATCCGTCACTTTACCGACTGATTAATTTGAAATTTAAAACACATTGACTTTTTTTTTAATGTAGCCGTAATATTAAGTCAATGTAGTAACCAAATATAATAAGAACTGGATTTTGGATTTTTTTCAAATCCGACATTTTTCTACGATCATGACGAGTTGTACTCAGAGTTAACGTTTAAAACTTAAATTAAAGTAAATATTACTATTTTCTTTAATGGTAATTTAAGATGATAGTTTAGTATGTCTACATTGTTATCTGTTAATCTATCCTTAAAATATACAAGAAAATACGAGTATGACGTCATGAATTTTACAAACACTACTTATATTAAATCTATTATAAATTAAATTAGAAAATAAAAACTTCGAACTAGCAAGGAAAAACCTAAACATGCTACCACAAAATAACAAATAAAACAAAGTTAAACTGAATAGATACTTAAATCTCAATAAGTTACGGTAAGAAGGGGCCGTTCAAGTATTACGTAAGCAGAATTACTGCAATTTATCCCTCCCCCCTACCTGTTGTCAGCAAAAGTAATAATAAAACGTATTAAATTTTTGTAGGAATCCTCGAAAATGCATTTCGTTTTCAAGCATAAACAATGAGTGGGTAATATGTTTAAAAAAGTAAATAATTACTGTTGACGTAATCACTAAATAAGAAAATCAAACACCCCCTCCCCCCTCCCCCTCTCCCTATTGAATGGCCCCTAGGAAGACTGTTGTAAAATATATCAATACCTTCATCAATAATAGAGATAGCATATTCACTGGACCATTAAAAGTAGCAGATAATACAAAATAGTGTTAATAAATAAATTTTCTTAACCTACATAGTGACAATAATAATTAAAAGTAAATTAAAAGAAAATTAAAACAAATTTAAAAAGTTTGGTCCCTGAGGCAGTGTAGTGTACCTTTAACGCTGGCAGCATTCGCTGAATTGCGGTCGCCGGTACTATCTATGTCAAGATTTATATTTCTTTTTAAAGTATGTACAGAAAAACAAACCAAATAAAACAATGTTAACAGGTAAATTGTCAATTTCACGATTATTATATCACCAAGGAGTTGTCAGTTTTCGCGCGCCAATTCCAGTTGCGATAGTTTTCAATTCACTATGGCACATTTGGCGCCATTTTTTACGTTGATATGTTGGAAATTAAGCATATTATAAGTAGCCTGTTTAGCTTGTTATTCACATAAAGTCTATCGTGTTGTAGACTTTATTTTTCTTTATAATAATAATAATAATTAATTGCAAGAATTTGGTAAAAAAATGTGTACAATCGTAAGTTCGCATATTCTGCCACACACAATGGCGCGCAAATTTGTCTTTAAAGGAATTTTAAATTTTATATTATTACTCATATGTATTAATCAATTCTTATATTATTTGTATCGTACATATTGTTACGAAGAGGGGTCTATCCGATCCCCTAGCTCGTAACAATATCATATCATAGGTACGTTATTACATTTATATCAACTACAGTTAAAAAACGCTATTTCAAATATCTTATGGTAGATATTACAGAGTTTGAAAATGTATGACTCATAAAAATATATTTTATCGCTCACTGTACGACAGTTTTATAAACTTACTAGCAGCTGACCGGGCAAACGTCGTTTTGCCATGTAGGTATATCATTTATAATAAAAAAAATAGGGGTTGATCGTAGAGGGGTGAAAGTTAGGGGTTGTATGTATTTTTTAATGCTGTATCATAAAAAAATAAAAACAGAAAAAAATCTAAAAATAAAAAAAAAATATAGGGGTGGACTACCCTTAACATTTAGGGGGATGAAAAATAGACGTTGTCCGATTCTCAGACATACCCAATATGCACACAAAATTTTGTTGAGCCGTTTCGGAGGAGTTTAACCACAAACACCGCGACACGAGAATTTTATATATTAGATGGATCCATATTTTTTTCATTTATTGGTCAACTTACATAACATTACTTATATTGTTAAACGAATTATACCTCAATAGCTAACAATTAACATAGACTATAAAAAAATAAAGACTGTCAAAATTTCATACGCCTTTCCTTTTTCATACAACGTAAATCAGTCTGTCTCTTTTTATCATAGAGTAAACACAATAATACAGAAACCCAACGATTAATTAGCTTTATAGACGCGGGAATATGAGGACAAAATATATAACCCAATAAATGATGATAGCTAACGTAAACAACCCGTAGTTCGTAACATAACTTTTAAAAGCAACTTACCATTATACTCGAAGGCTTCGAGGGTACGTGATCTTCGTATCATATTTTGAAAGCGATATCAAGTTTGGGTTACAATATAATTTACCGTCTTGCTTATATTTCATATTAAAATAACACCAAGTTTCGCAATTTATACAATATACAATATGTGATGAGACAAACATTATCCACTTTAAACTCAGTCAATCAAATTGCACTCTTATATCTTTCGTCTCTTTCCAATTGTGTTAACTGAAAGGAGACAAATAGTCTTTAGTTAAAACGTTGCACACTTACTTTTTTATAGAACGGGCAGGAGGCTCACTTGATGTTAAGTGATACTTACATTGCCAGAAGGGCAAATGCGTTGCCAGCCTTTTAATAATTGATACGCTTTATTCGTGTAGTTATTGTGGTGACGATGTACCATTCCCCTGAGCACTTTGTAAAGTAACAATTATGTAGCATTAAATAATTTTTGAAAACGCTCCAGTAATTTTGAATCCATTCTTCTTCTTCTCTTCTTCAAATTTAAGAGCCGGGCTCTTGTCTGTGTATTAATCGCCACTCATTGCGGTTCTGCGTCAGTGTCTTGACCTCCTGGTATGTCATGACCTCAGCTTTATCATTGATCTGGTCTATGTAAGCTATTCCCGGTCTTCCTCGTCCTCTCCTACCTTCTATCTTCCTCTCCAGGATGGTCTTAAAGGTGTCCAATCACCTTCCCTCTTCGGTTTTCTATGGTACTCAGCAGATTTCGTTTTTCTCCGACCATACCCACCTCTTCATTTGTCTTCTTTTCGGTCCAACTTATCTTCATCATTCTCCTCAAATGCTTCAAGTCTTTCTTTTTTAGTAAGAGTCCATGTTTAGCTATCGTAGAGAGCAATGCTCTAGACGTATGTTTAATGTTGAATCCATTAACATTTAAAAAATGCTCATGTATTATACAGGATGGGCAAAAATTTATTTTGCGTTTTTAAAAGAAAATTGACTTTTTTTACTAATTCTTATTAAAATTCGGAAGTAGATTTTTAAGTGCCTGCCTTGGAAGTAGAGCCTGTATCTTTTTTATAATATCCACTAGATTGGTACTGATGATTTTTTCGAATTTTAATAAGAATTAGTAAAAAAAGTCAATTTTCTTTTAAAAACGCAAAATAAATTATAGCTCTGCAGAGGTTGAGCTTAGAGACCCTCGTAGTTGTTCTACGGGGGTCTTTTTGCAGCTGATGACCTCATCTATCCCCTAGTTGCATTTGATCCACGACTTTTTGACCATCTGTATATTAACTTTGCATAATACAGATGCAACGCTTGGCGAACACCTAAAAGATTATATTTGGATCGTTCGCAATTTAACGACCTCATGAAAAGCAGTTTTGAAGTTCCCTGGACAAAGGATTCCGAAATTGTAATTAAGTCTGCCGTAATAAAAGACAAAGTAGTTCTATTGTAAACGTTTACTGACTGTAAACAAAGACAGATTGTAATCATATGCAGTTCATTTATAAACGTAAAAAGCTAGATGATTTTAAATCTATATTTACTCCATCACAACAAGTAAAACTGTTGGAATTGGACAAAAAATTTCGAAAATCTGTTTAAAATAAACTAGAGATCATAAAAGTAAAGTAAAAATTTTGTTTTGTCTGGCTTGTCATGACCATTGCCGAACCCGGTCAACTTTGGAGCGCTGTAAAAGCGTTTCCTATTAACAAAATTTAAAAAAATTAAAGGGGAACATCTTTAGAAAGAGATCCTCCACAAAATTGCTCTGACATAATTTGTTAATACAATCAAAAGAAAAAAAATTAAGCAAAATAGGATTTTTTTACTTAAAAATTTTTGAATTTTGGATTTATGATAAAAAGTCACACACACATAATTGTAGGCAGGTAAATAGTTTAGGAGATATAGACAAAAACGTGTTTTCATCTCTTTTTCCAAGATGGTGGCCGAGGGACAAGGGCGCCAACCCCACAAAATTGGTTTTAGCGTATTTTGCTCACTCCAGTGAGCTTACGTCCTGCCCTTCAGGCGATTGACCACCCTGCGACGGCCCAAGCCGAGATTCGAGTCTCACAGGAGACGCCCTTGCGCTAGTCGCGGGAAAAACGTCCATTCAGGCCGAGCTACGCTCACCAAAACAGCCCGAGCTGTAAAGGCCCTTGAGGCCAACAGCGAGATACCATTCATTAAAAAATCCCCATTCTAAAGGTCCGTGGTAGGCCCTGGCATGTATATTATCGGATCTGGATGATCCTAAATCAGCGAGCGGCAAATAAGGCGGCGGGGTCTCACTACCGTTTCCGTCCTGTATTTCAGCCTTCAGGCGATTGACCACCCCGCGACTAAACAGGAGACTCTCTTGCGCTAGTCGCGGGAAAAAGACCTTTCCAGCCGAGCTACGCTCGCACAAACAGCCCGGGCGAGCTGTCAAGATCTTAAAAGGTCAACGGTGCATTCCATAAAAAAAACAAGTTTAATCTTGAATTAGACATAATCTCTCATTCATAACTCAATGTCACAGAACGAACAAGAACTCGGAACAAAAATAT